TTAATTATGCAAATTAGGTAATTAATATGTACTGATATTACCATAAAAACTATCAGGTCTGTGCAGTGTCGTATGACATCTATGTACCAAGTTTCATTGAAATGTGATGATTAGTACTTGAGATATCAGTGGAAAAACCGAAAATTGACTAATCATTATGCAAATTAGGTAATTAGTATCCACGGATTATTACCAAAAACTAATCAAAACCTAGCATTAGTTCAGAGCATCTATGTACCAAGTTTCATCAAAATCCAATGAGTGGTTGTTTAGATATCAGTGGAACAGTCATGGAACCACTAAAAAATAGCTAATTATCATGCAAATTAGGTAATTAATATGCACGGATTTTTACCAAAAATTAATCAAATCTGCGCATATGTTCAGAGCATCTATGTACCAAGTTTCATCAAAATCCAATGAGTGGTTCTTTAGATATCAGTGGAACAGTCATAGAACAGCTAAAAATTAGCTAATTATCATGCAAATTAGGTAATTAACGAGCATGGATTTTTACCAAAACCTAATCAAATCTGCGCATTGGCCCAGAGCATCTATGCACCAAGTTTCATCAAAAACCGATGTATGGTTCTTGAGATAGCAGTGGAACAGTCGGACACACATACACACATACACACATACACACATACACACATACACACATACACACATACACACATACAGACACACTAACTGCAAAGACTCCCATTTTGTGCTTCGCACATGGGAGTCAAAAACCTAACTAATACACATACACATACAGACTGGTAAACGTAACTGATACACATACAGACTGGTAAACCTAACTGAAACACATACAGACTGGTAAACCTAACTGAAGCACATACAGACTGGTAAACCTAACTGAAACACATACAGACTGGTAAACCTAACTAATACACATACAGACTGATAAACCTAACTGATACACATACAGACTGGTAAACCTAACTGATACACATACAGACTGGTAAACCTAACTGAAACACATACAGACTGGTAAACCTAACTGAAGCACATACAGACTAGTAAACCTAACTGATACACATACAGACTGGTAAACCTAACTGATACACATACAGACTGGTAAACCTAACTGATACACATACAGACTAGTAAACCTAACTGATACACATACAGACTGGAAAACCTAACTAATACACATACACATACAGACTGGTAAACCTAACTGATACACATACAGACTGGTAAACCTAACTAATACACATACACATACAGACTGGTAAACCTAACTGATACACATACAGACTGGTAAACCTAACTGAAACACATACAGAC